ATGTTATTAATACATACTCCAGCATTTGCAATCTACATTCTTACGAAATCAAAAACCCATCAATGCAGAAAAATAAAACACTATCTTGTTTGTTATGTGAATAAGAATTATTTATAATCCAGATGTATTTGGGTAACAACAGTTTTAATAGTGCAGCATGGTTACAAAAATAAATTAAAAGTACAGAATTAATTAATCCCTTTGTTGAAAATAATGCCCATGAGTTTCTTGTGATAATATTTGATATATTTGAACAATATGACGTTAACAGTAATAATATATAAAAATAAATAGTAATTTTTATGAATCCACCAACTACAGTCATAGAACCATGTCACAAGATTTATCTCCTGATGTGAAAGATCTCTTCAATATATGTTAAGTAAAATATTACACAGGTAAATTAAGCTTGATGAAATAAATCAGAGTAAAAAAATCTCACAACTGGAGAAGGAAAGATATTCAAAGAGATTAAGTAGGGAAAATATAGAACAATTGAAAAAGGAGAAAAATGCAATGAGATTAAAGAGGAAAAATGTAAAACAACTAGAGAAGGAGAAGAATGCAATGAGATTAAAGAGGAAAAATATAGAATAATTAGATAAGGAGAAGAATGTAATGAGATTAAAGAGGAAAAATATAGAATAATTAGATAAGGAAAAATGAAATGAGATTAAAGAGGAAAAATTTTGAACAATCAGAGAAGAAAAATGCTGCAATGAGATTAAAGAAGAAACATGTATACAACTTGAGAAAAGGCGTAATGCGAACGGATTAAGTAGAAACAATATAGAACAATTGGAAAAAAAAGAAAAATGCAAAGAGATCAAGTAGAAAAATATAGAACAGCTGGAGAAGGAGAAGAATGCAAAGAGATTAACAAGAAAAAATGTACAACTTGAGGAAAAGTGTAATGCTACGAGATTGAAAAAAAAATGTAAAAATACAGTTGGAAACTATCGATTTAGTGAACTCATTAATGAATTTCAGAGAGATGTATCTGAAGGACATAATGATCAACCACTATGCTAGAGAAAACTAAAAATCAATGGAAGCAGAACACAAAATCAACATCCCTTCTCGAATGTATAGCTTAGAGTGATGTTTGGTAGTAAGAAATGAAAATCATTTTATAAAATTTCACTATTTCAAGAATTTAGACAATTCTTGGTCTCAACTTAACCAGTTGTATCAACTATTCCCTTGCGGACAAGGTTTCAATAGTTTTGCTATGTTTTTAATATAAATTGTTAGTCTTAGTTGTCCTAAATGTATTTGGTTTGTTTATAACAGCTCTGTATTTTCTATGCAAAGCACCAACTGTGTTTCTGTTATTGATTAATATAGAATCAAATACATAAGACAAAACTTGTGAGTCTATAATCAATATACCACTTAGGACTGTCAGATTTGGGGGAGGGGAATCAGAGTTCTTTGATCAGATTATTGTTCATCAACCTGTCAAGTTTCATTGATAACTGCTGCAGAATTTCTGAGAAAATGTTGAAGACGAGCACAGACATCTGGACGGAATGCTGGAAGGACATATGGACTGAGCTCAAATTAATACTCCCCTTTTTTTAGGCTACAACTGAAACGGGGACTAAAGTAGTATCGTCACTACAGTTCTACACCAAACGTTTAATTTATAAAAAAAAAATATTCCCTGTTTGTGAACGCCAATGATTGTGATTGGTCAAGTTATTTTTAACTGTCCTTTGATATTTATTTATAATTTATAAATTATAAATAAAATAATATTCATGGTCATAATAATTCCATGTTGCTAGAAAGTACTGTTTTAAAGTAATTTTAGGGGGCAAAATGCGTCATATTTTAAAACATTAAGATATACAGTGTGGTCTACTTAGTTCAAAATTGCTGATTCATAATACTAGTAAGAAACACAAAATAGATAAAAGTATATACATTTGCAGTGTTATATAAAGGAGAAATGGCAAATCAAATATCATACACACTACAACAAGCCGGTAGGCTGGTTGGCGATCCGCTCCGCTCAAAAACAAGCACCATGTTTTTGGCTGTTTCCATGGTGTGACCTAAACGTGAAGCTAACGTCGGTTTATAACTAATACGAAGTTCGCAAACACCATTCAGTCTTTAGAAGTCACTTAGTTTATTACTAGGACCACATTCACTCTCCTCGTAGAGTGACTGTGCTAGGACGTATTCTGCTGTTACATTTATTATTTCCAACCGTTTTGCGATAGCATTTTCTAGAATGAAGCGTTTCCTGTAAATGCTGGAAAGCGAAATAATGAAATAACGAGATGGTAAATATTTACCTAAAGTACAGTGTGTTGACCTTCATAATAATATACTTCATAATGCAAAACATTAGTCACGGTGAGTTATTTAAATATACGACTCCTAATCGAAAAATATGACCACAGTCCAGAATTTCAGACGGATATTAAGAAACCTAAGAGCATATCAGAAACATTTACTCTAAAATATAAAAAAGAACTGCAGTCAAAAGTCAAGAATGCCCGCAAATAAAGAA